TTAATATTTATTTTTAACAACCATCAAACATTTGAAGAATGTTTATTACTCACGGTTGAAACAAAAATAAACTATAAATACTAAAAAGTATTCGTTTATTGAAAAATATATTATGATTACTACAAGAAACTACAGCAAGCCAAGCGAAATGGAGCTGCTTGCAGCTTGGGTAATAGGCGACAAAAGTAATAGGTTACCGGAACCTATTACCTGTCTGTCACCGGAACAATGGAACCTATTACTACAAAGTAACTGTATTTTCCATGACTAAAACTGATTGAAATTATAACATTAGCAGAAGAACAACAAAGTTTAAGATCAGGAAGATCATGGACTGAAGCTATCTTTATAATAAGGCAAGTGCAAGAGAAATCATTAGAACACAACAAACCAGAATTTCAATGTTTCATGGAACTTAAGAAGGCAAGAATGAGCAGTTTAAATTAAAGGATGTTATCCACTTATTGTACACAAGAGAGATAATCAAAATTATCGAAAATATCTAGCAAAACAACACAATAAAAGTAAAAGCAAAAGAACTAACTGACCATATTGAAGACAGCGATGGGCTAAGAGAGGGAGATTCCCTGAGTTCTCTTTTGTTCAGCCTGATTATGGATGAAATAATAAAAGAAGTAAGAACTTATACCAAATAAGAAAAAGCAACTTAAAATAAACTGCTATTCAGATGATTCAATACACTCTCTCAAAGTGAAGATCATTTACAACATGTGCTGCACCAATTTAATATAACCTCCACAAAATTTAACACGTTAATTTCCTCACAAAAGACAAAATGCATGATTGTAACAACAAATTTACTAAGATGTAAATTGGAGCTGGAAGGCCAGATAATAGAACAAGTGATGTGAGTTTAAATATCTAGGCATCACATTATCTAGCTATGGAAAACTCAAAACAAACAGAAGTGGAAGATCAAGTGAATAGAGCAAACAGAGCTGCAGGTTGCCTGAATGAAAAAATGTGGAGAAATAAAAATATGGGAAAGAAATGAAAGGCAGAATTTACAAAACCAATGACCTGACACAGAGAGGACATAAATGTTAGAAACAGCGGAGTAAAAAAAAACTTCTACAATACCTTCCGAATAAACCACATAAATGGGGAATAAAACTTTTTGTATTATGCGATTCACATGGTTATGCTTACCGATTTGAGATATACAATGGTGCAGGTGACAATATCATTTTACCTGGTACTCCAGATCTTGGTGCTACAGGTAATGTAGTTGTACGATTGTCTCAAACAGTGCCTAATTTCGTCCATCATATAATATACTTTGACAATTTTTACACCTCATTACCTTTATTAGTATATCTTCGTGCAAGAGGTATTTATGCACTTGGTACTATAAGGATCAATCGAATTCCAAATTGTAAACTGCCAAGTGATAAAGAAACAAAGAATGCAGAAAGAGGAGATTCCATGTTATATGTTGGCACTGCATATGGTGTCCAGGTGAATATGGTACAATGGATAGATAACAAAAACGTAAGACTAGCTTCAACATACGTTGGGATTGAACCATATGCTAGAAACCATCCGGTAGAGACTCAGCCAGCTAAAATATCACGATATGATCGTAAAGAAAAAAAGTACATGGAAGTAGAATGTCCACAAATAATACGAGAGTATAACAGTCACATGGGTGGCGTAGACTTGATGGATGGACTGATGGGTCGTTATCACATCAGACTCAAGACTAGGAATCCAATTATCCGGATGTTCTATCATCTAATAGACATGGCCGCAACAAACGCATACATTCTATACCGTCGAGTCCATGCTAATAAATTTACTAATAGTGATGAACCAAAGGAGAAACTCTACCAATTACCTCAATTTCGTGAACAGATAGCTGCTGGCTTTGTGGCGTATACACAAAGGCGTTCTGTTGGTCGACCATCTTCTCAGTTGGTACATCCAGGTACTAGTAGTGTTGGTCAGAAAGCTAAACATCCTGTAGCCGATATCAGATACGACAACTACGACCATTTTAAAATATGGCTAGGTAAATCAGGAGGGCGAAAGAAATGTAAATATTGTAAAGACTCCGTAACCTAGTGTGTGTGCCAAAAATGCGACCTACATTTGTGTTGCTCTAACTCAAAAAATTGTTTCTACGATTATCATCATAGATAATGTAATTTCCTTGTCTATTATTTTGTTTGAATAAAAATACATTTAACGAAATATGCTGTTTTATTTCACTTAAACCGTTTTGTCGTCCTTGAGGACAACTTACGTTTTTTTTACCTGGCGAATGAGTCAATAAAAAAATCTTTATGGGAACTTCATATTCGTCATTGTCATAGCAAGATTAACTAGAAACAAAAATTTATACATAAAAATATGCACTATTTCAGATTTTACGCTTAGAGGGTTAACAGACACTAACATATCAAAAAAGAAAACCGCATGGTTTAAAGAGGAAGTGAAGATAAAATGTGAAGAAAAGAAGAAAGCCTTTTACAATACAGAAAACAACAAACACAACAGTCATTCAAGCATTATAAACAAATCAGAAATGAAACACATACTTTAATTAGACAAATAAAAAGGGAACACTGGCATAGCTTCTCAAAATAAATGGAAGAAGACAGAAAGAAATATGGACAATGATCAGAGGACAAAGAAAAGAGATGAACAAACTAATAAAAACGAAAAACATTTATAAAGAAACATCAGCAGACTACTTGTGATCCCTATTTACTAAAGGTGACAATAATGAACCACCAACACCAGAGGTGACAGCAAATGAAGAAATATATATTAAGGAGGAAGAGGTAAAGGAAGGATTAAGGAAATTAACATACAGAAAATCACTAATAGAGAAAAGAATACTGAACAAACTCCTAAAGTACAAAGGACCAGATCTACCTAAACAATTACTAAAACTAATCAAAAAAATAATAGAAAAAAAAACAGAAGTCCTCAAGAATTGAGATCAAACATCCTAATATCTCTCTTCAAAAAGGGAGAAAAATTGGACCCAGAAAATTACAGATAAATTAATTTAGTAAATACAACACTAAAATTAAAAACCAAAGTGATAACAAATAAACTGATTGAAATTATAACATTAGCAGAAGAACAACAAAGTTTAAGATCAGGAAGATCATGGACTGAAGCTATCTTTATAATAAAGCAAGTGCAAGAGAAATCATTAGAACACAACAAACCAGAATTTCAATGTTTCATGGAACTTAAGAAGGCAAGAATGAACAGTTTAAATTAAAGGATATTATCCACTTATTGTACACAAGAGAGATAATCAAAATTATCGAAAATATCTAGCAAAACAACACAATAAAAGTAAAAGCAAAAGAACTAACTGACCATATTGAAGACAGCGATGGGCTAAGAAAGGGAAATTCCCTGAGTTCTCTTTTGTTCAGCCTGATTATGGATGAAATAATAAAAGAAGTAAGAACTTATACCAAATAAGAAAAAGCAACTTAAAATAAACTGCTATTCAGATGATTCAATACACTCTCTCAAAGTGAAGATCATTTACAACATGTGCTGCACCAATTTAATATAACCTCCACAAAATTTAACATGTTAATTTCCTCACAAAAGACAAAATGCATGATTGTAACAACAAATTTACTAAGATGTAAATTGGAGCTGGAAGGCCAGATAATAGAACAAGTGATGTGAGTTTAAATATCTAGGCATCACATTATCTAGCTATGGAACTCAAAACAGAAGTGGAAGATCAAGTGAATAGAGCAAACAGAGCTGCAGGTTGCCTGAATGAAAAAATGTGGAGAAATAAAAATATGGGAAAGAAATGAAAGGCAGAATTTACAAAACCAATGACCTGACACAGAGAGGACATAAATGTTAGAAACAGCGGAGTAAAAAAAAACTTGAAAAAATTGATGGTTAAACACTAAAAACACTAAACATATAAGCCAAATGAGAACAGAGTATTTAAGTAATTGGGTGATTGCCCGTTGATAAATAAATAGATAAATAGAATAGTAAAGACTGCAAGAGACAGAACCTCAATCGCAAGACAACAAAAATGATGGAACAACAACTTATTGGAAGCAAATTGAAAAACACATAGTCATGTTTGCATAAAAAGAAGATATTATAATTCCTTCTAATAGAAGATACAATAATACAGATGTAAAAATGTGTGTTTGGGTTTTTGAGAGTGTTATGTAAGTTTTTCAAGAAGTAAAGACCTGGACTCATATCTGGAAATTCTTTTCGTTTATTAAAAATTGTATGATTTTTATTAACATTTAAATAATTATAAAACATTTTTATTTTAGGTTTTAAATAAGGAAATATTATAGCTTCACCTAAAACTGCAAAAGAAGTGCACTTTCCGTTCACAAAAAATTGGACAATTTTGAGAAATAATTTTTCATTTGTTACTTTTTCTTCTTATTCTTTAAACAGTATGAGTTTATTTTCATATTTGTCTGTTTTAATAGGGATCTTTTTTAAATAATCAAATGCATGTTTTGTACTTTCCCTCTTGCGTTTCACATTTATCTCAATTTTAAAGATATCAAAAAGAGCATTACTACCTTCATTATGTAGTTATATGTGTACTCAGTACCTTCATTTTATTAAATTTAATTTTATCTATTTTCACCCAATTTTATTACTGTAGTGGGAAGAGGAAAAAATAAGTTTAAAGAAGTGCTGAAGCCTGTGACAAAAATCATTAAAAGAAAAGAGATTTTAGAAAGGGAGAGTCAACAGTGGTAAACATAAGTAAGTTAAGCAACAGAGAAAAGAAAAAGTGTGTTTTTATTTGGTAGGCATAGGCACTATGTACAGGGTGCCATGGACGGATCCAGGTGTAAGACTTCCAGAAGCGAAATTCATTCTGATTTACTATTCTATTTTGAATCCAACTCACACCAGGTAGTCTTTACATTTCCAGTCCACAAAAACAAGTATTGAAATATATAAAGCTAAGTCAGAAGTTTATAAAGCAAAGCACTTTTTAATTACTTACTTTTTTCACTTGTTTCTTTTTCTTCAAACAATATGAATTTATCTTCATATGTTTCTTTTTCTGTCTTTATAGGGTTCTTCTGTAATACTAAATAATCAAATGCATCATTTGTACTTTCTCTCTTGGGCTCCTCTTTAATTTCAATTTTAAGGGTATCAGAAAGAGCATTACCGCCCTCATTATCAATTTCTTCTTTACATATATAAACATTAACTTCTTGTTTTACTTCCATTTCATTAAACTTGATTTTATCTATTGTCACAATACACCCTACACTACTACACAATAAAACTGAAAATGAATATTTTTATTTCATTTTTTATCCAACTTATTTTATATCCATCAGTTTTTTAGAATTTTTCAACCCTCCCGTCAGAATAAAGGATGACATGTGACATGAACAAATTAAGAACGCTAATTCAGAAATGTTCGTTAGGGGCGCTGCAGTAGGATTCATTCCTCCCGTCACCCGTGACCGGCTTGTGTGTGAGAACCATATCACTGGTGAGAACTTACATCAAAGCAGCCATATTTTCAACACTATTTTACACAGAAAAGTTTTCCCATCTATTCGGTCCAGTACCCACTGACACGGCACCCATATGTATAAATCGAACTTTATTAGTCGTAGTGCAGGAAGGTTTCTAACTAGTCTTAAAATCAAACATTTAAATCTCTTTAAAAATTTAATATTATTACGCTTCAATGATTCATCATTCTTAAAAAAATCAATAAGGCCCTTAGTATTTACATTTGTTTATTTGTGAAGCGGAAATGATATAAAACGATTTTATAAAAAGATTTCTTTGTTAATTACCACTATAAATAAAAATAAGGAAGTTCACTAGTCCAGATTTTACTCCATACTGTTTTCTAGTATTTTTATATAGGTACAGGTTTTATACGTTTCTATTGCAAAATTACAGCAATATCACATTCAAAGGGTTTATCCCCAGTATGCATTCTCAATATTCTGTTAACCTGAATATTTAATCTCTAATATCGTTCGTAGCATATTTCACATGTTAAATTGATCTCAAAAAGTTATCTGCAGTGTGTATTCCCATATTTTATTGGATAGAAACTTTGTGAAAATGTTCAGTACGAAGTGCACATGTAAAGGATTTACATGTCAAATTTAAATGAATTTCAGAAATACGTCCGGTGTTTATTATCATGTCTTTAAACTTGATCTTTGTAAAATTTCTTTGCGCAAATTTCACACCGAAACACGCAAAAGGTTTATCGCCAGTGTGTATTTTCATGTTTTTTTAAATTAGATTTTAGTGAACACCTTTTGGAGCAAATTTCACATGCAAAAGGTTTATCTCCAGTGTGTACTTTCATATGATCTGTTAAACCAGATCTTTGTGAAAAACTTTTGGAGCAAATTTCACAAGCAAAGGGTTTATCTCCAGTGTGTATTTTAATATGTGTTTTTAAATTGGATTTCAATGCAAACCCTTTAGAGCAAATTTCACACGCAAAAGGTTTATCTCCAGTGTGTATTTTCATATGTTGTGTTAAACTGGATCTTTGTGAAAAACTTGTGTAGCAAATTTCACAAGTACAGAATTTCTCTCCAGTGTGTATTTTATTATGTGTGTTTAAATTGGATTTCACTGCAAACCTTTTAGAGCAAATTTCACATGCAAAAGGTTTATCTCCAGTGTGTACTTTCATATGTTGTGTTAATCTGGATCTGTGTGAAAAACTTTTGGAGCAAATTTCACAAGTAAAGAATTTCTCTCCAGTGTGTATTTTATTATGTGTGTTTAAATTGGATTTCACTGCAAACCTTTTAGAGCAAATTTCACATGCAAAAGGTTTATCTCCAGTGTGTACTTTCATATGTTGTGTTAATCTGGATCTGTGTGAAAAACTTTTGGAGCAAATTTCACAAGTAAAGAATTTCTCTCCAGTGTGTATTGTAATATGTTTTTTTAAATTGGATTTCAATGAAAACCTTTTGGAGCAAATGTCACATGCAAATTGTTTATCGCCAATGTGTATTTTAATATGTACTTTTAAATAGGAACTTTGTGAAAATTTTTTGGCACAAATTGCACATGCAAAAGGTTTATCGCCGGTGTGTACTTTCATATGTTCTGTTAAACTGGATCTTTGTGAAAAACTTTTGGAGCAAATTTCACAAGCAAAAGGCTTATCTCCAGTGTGTATTTTAATATGTGTTCTTAAATTGGATTTCGATGAAAACCTTTTGGAGCAAATTTCACATGCAAAGTGTTTATTGCCAATGTGTAATTTGATATGTTCTTTTAAATGAGAACTTCGTGAAAATTTGTTTGCACAAATTTCACATGCAAAAGGTTTATCGCCAGTGTGCACTTTCATATGTTGTGTTAAACTGGACTTTTGTGAAAAACTCTTTGAACAAATTATACATGTAAAAGATATATCTCCAGTGTGTATTTTAATATGATTTTTTAAATTGGATTGCAAAGAAAACCTTTTGAAGCAAATTTCACAATCAAAGTGTTTATCGCCAGTGTGTACTTGCATATGTTTAGTAAAACTGGATCTTTGTGAAAAACTTTTGGTGCAAATTTCACACTCAAAAGGCTTATCTCCAGTGTGTAGTCTTATATGTTGTGTTAAACTGAAATTCTGTGAAAATCTCTTGGAGCAAATTTTACATGTAAAAGGTTTCTCGCCAGTGTGTATTTTCATATGTTCTTTTAAATGGGAATTTCGTGAAAAATGTTTGGCGCAAATTTCACATGCAAAAGGTTTATTGCCAGTGTGTACTTTAATATGTTCGGTTAAACTGGATCTTTGTGAAAAACTCTTGGAGCAAATTTTACATATAAAAGATTTATTGCCTATGTGTATTTTCATATGTTCTTTCAAAACGGATCTTTGTAAAAATAATTCGGAGCAAATTTCAGCGGTAAAATGGTTTTCCTCATTGTTCACAATCGTCGGGATAGTTAAGCATTGGTCCAAATCGCCGTTAATTCTAACATTGTCTTTGAATAATTTACTTGCATCAGTTTGTACATCTTCATGGCGAACACCTAAAATCGTGATTACCTATTAAACCACTATCGTGTATTTACATACAAAATTCTTATGATCGTTTGAAAACTCAGTAGAAAAGGGAAGAGCTTATGCCTAATAGAACAAGGTAAATATCCTTACTTGACTTTAATTATAATACAGTAGACTCGCGATTATCCGACTCCCAATTAACCAAGGTAGTAATTAAAAAGAACAAATTATGTAATAAATTTATGAATATGACAAAATTAATGGGAAAACTCCGTAATTGGCTGTATACCATCGTTTAAAAAACACAGAAGTTAAAACACTTCACAAATGTGTATTTAGGTATAAAACAAACAAGTTAAAACTTTTTATAAAAGTGTCTTCACATTTAAAGTTCTGGCAGAACGTTTTCGATCACTACGGATCATCTTCAGTGCCTAGTATTTGTTGCTAACTATATAAATATGGTGTCTATAAGACTTCCATGTTTGAGTTGGTAAAGTGTCACATTTTACATTAGATAATGTTGATACTGTAGGTCGATGACAATGGATGTATTTAAAATTAAAAATTTTACTTTAGGGACTACATGTCTCCTAAGCTCGAGTACTTGCACGTTGTCAGTTGAAGCGACGACACAGACCAAATGGCTGATGTCACAGGAGATAACTTAAAGACAGCTAAACTTGACAGGATTTCAGTATGTTCCGAAATTAATGTAATTTTTAATTTGTGAAATTATAAAATTTGTTTACTTGTAGTAATGAATAATAACTTATTAATGAACCTGATTTTAACAATTAGATTTGTTTATATGATAAAATTTATTGCCTAGATCAGTGAATCTATATTATTGAAAATGAACTATCAATTTAATGGGATTAGTATAAAAGGTTGAAATTTATGACATCATAAGTGATGATAAAATGATGAATGTAGTAGAAGAAGAAGGGTATTGATGTGGTACTGTACAAATGTAAGTATATAAAGTGTATAAAATTATTATAACTGAAAAAATTAAGTTAAAATCCAATGATATGGAAGTGAGAATTATTATTTATATATTGTGCAAAGGTGGTTGCCTAGCAATGGTAAAAGACCTGTGGAGAGTATTAATTCTCCATTAAGTTAGAACTTGTCGTTACGCCACTGTTCGAGCGCTGGGACACGGGTGTTCAGGCAAATGGGTGGGAACTCGACGACGAGAGAGCGACGTGATAAGACGTAGCAGAGAGAGCGGTTACAAAAGTACGGTATGTGCATGTGCGGCATACAAAGTGACGAAACAAACGACGGTATGTGCTATAACATACATTGACGACGGTATGTGCGAAATCAGAAATCATACACAACGGCGCTATCGAGTAATAATCGACGGTACGACGATAGACACGAGACATTTGCGAATAAGAGTGATATTGCTATTGTGCACGAACATTATTACCTAGACGAACAGTTGTAGTGACGATAATAAATACTTTTAGTAAGCAAAGCTTTATTTTACACCCTAGACAACACAACAAAGCCTACAATAGTATTGAATACAAATTTGTGAAACGTGACTGCAAAAAACATCATGGTGTTTATTTATAATAAATTTAAAATAACATAAAAATATTATCAAAAAAAAATACAATTTGTTGTCACAAACAAATAAACAATTTCGCAGTTATAGCTTAAAATTGATTTCAAATCAAACTGTCTGACCGTACCTTCATGATTTATTTATTTATTTATCGTATGGCAATTACAACACATTTAGAACAAAATTACAAACACTAGTAATATAGGTATATGACAAACTTTAAATAATTACAAACAAACATCAAGTGTATTAACATAATCAATTGACTCTGAAGTTGCAAACAGGAAGTCTTCAGGGCTACCGTTATAAGATCTTGAGGGACACTCTTCAATAATGTGGTCGATCGTTTGGTCCTTCCCACAGTCACATTGAGGAGACGGATTCTTTCCCCATTTATGTAGCATGTATGCACATCTGCCATGTCTGGTTCGGATCCTGTTTAGAGTGGACCATGTTTTACGTGGAAGATCAAAACCTGGTGGCTTGTGGGTAATACAGGGCATGTTATTTTGCCATGCATTCCATTCTTGGGACCATGCATTCGTGATGTTGAACTCCTCATGTATCATTCTTGCCGTTTTCATTGGTGGTTTTCTAGAACGTAGACGGGTATTTCGTGCATCCTCGGTATCTTGGTG